TTTCGTTTTTTCGTTGTCGTATCCTGTATTTCATATTTCATATCTCTTATATATTGTTGCTGTTTTATTACGCATTTTTACATAACTAATGTATCATCTCCTATTGCTTCTTTTGAGCCGAGGGTCTCCTGGAAACAGCCTCTCTACCTTTCGGAGTAGGGGTAAGGTCTGCGTACATACAACCCTCCCCAAACCCCACTTGTGGGATTATACTGGGTCGTTGTTGTTGTTGTTGTAGAATACTGAAAAGATAACGTATAAAAATCAAAACCTATAGAAACTGACTAAGTTTGATCTAATTTTGTTTATAAATTTTACTAAATGAATATAAATTAACCATTAACATCTCATTAACATATTTTGAAGTTGGCTGCATGAATTCTTAGCAATCATGTTGTTCCAAATATCAATTAAATCCATCTTAAACCCATATAAGCCGATATAAATTTATATTTACTTGTTCGCGCTTCGCGCAATCGTAAAAATAAAACTAAAATAATTTATTCCTAATATCTGAGTATTAAAAAGCATTTGTTCCTTAAGTCCAAATATGGAGTAGATTTCATGTTTTAATTCATCTTATTACTAACACTTATTTTAACTTATTTCTTTAATTCATCATATGAGGATATTTTGCTTTTTCCAAGTCTTTCTTTTCTTTTCTTCTTTTATGCTTAAAATAATTAAGAGACCCCAAAGCATAACAATAGCACGCAAATAAAGGGATTCGAAGCATTAATGAGCCGATACAGTTCAGAAACTTGATTGGTCGTATGCTTTATTCATTAACATATATTCATTTCATGAGCTAAAAAATTTTAGATGCAAAAACTAAAGCACCTTTTCTGTCGGCACCCATATATATATATATATATCCCAGCAATCACCATAATTTGGAGGATCAAGAAGAAGTCTTTGTTGGCTTCCCCGTTATCAATAAATATTTAATTTATTCACAAATGTATTAACTGAAAATTAGTGAATACAATACAATTTCATAAAGATAAGTTTCAAAGTTTAATTTTCATTAATGAATACACCTGGCAAACATGTAGTATCTCACTTCGTTCAATTATCTAATCATGAACGAAAGAGATATGGAAATCTTATAACATACAACATACCTTAACCCCTAATTATGATCTAGCCAGAAATTTTTATCACACCCTATATGAGTCCATCTCATAAAAATAAATAAAAGAGATAATAATTATATGTTTTAGTTCTAATTTGTTAAATTG